AAAAAAAAAATTCAATTAAACCAATCTTATTTTATAATAGTGCAAAAAACCACATCAATCAAAAGTGTGCGCACTCTGTGATCACTGCTACACAGTGAATTCCTTCAACCACCACACAATAGTACAAAATACTATTACCCTCTATGTGTGTAATTAAGGCTCTACCAACATTATGGATCAGTAATCTTCCAAAAATCTTCTTTTGGGATATTTCCAGGTCCTCAGAGAAATAAATGGTCTTAGGAGCAATATTCAAAACATAGGGATAACATTTATTAGTAACTCACACTTAAGAATTGGATTATCAGCTCCAGCTATGGTTTCTGTCCGCTTAAACAAACATTTCCTCCACCATGTGTATTGACAACCTAAAAAATGGCCGCGGCGACACTTCCGGTCTGCATACGTGCGTCCTGACGTCACTCCTTTAACGCGTTTCGTCACACTTCCGGACTTCATCTGAAAGGATACAGACGTCCTACTCGTTGCTCCTTTTATGTTCATGCCTCCTATGCCTCCTATTGACTTGAGGCTGCCGCCGCCATATTTGAACAGGGAAAAGGTATTTACTAATAAATGTTATCCCTATGTTTTGAATATTGCTCCTAAGACCATTTATTTCTCTGAGGACCTGGAAATATCCCAAAAGAAGATTTTTGGAAGATTACTGATCCATAATGTTGGTAGAGCCTTAATTACACACATAGAGGGTAATAGTATTTTGTACTATTGTGTGGTGGTTGAAGGAATTCACTGTGTAGCAGTGATCACAGAGTGCGCACACTTTTGATTGATGTGGTTTTTGCACTATTATAAAATAAGATTGGTTTAATTGAATTTTTTTTTTTTTTTTTCTCTCACAAATAGATATATTTTTGCAGTGAAGTGTGGAGTTTCACGGGGTGATTTTTCTAATTAATTGTATTGCACTAGATTGTTTATTTTATTTCTCGAGGTACGTGTTTGGAGGAATAATTTTCACAGATTGGAAGGAAAAGATTGGAATTAGGACACTATATTGGATTTATTTTGGACAATTTTTGGACAATTTTTGGGCATAATTTTGGAGTTCACATTGGACTATTTTGAGTTGGTGTATTTATATTATATTAGATCATTTGATATATGTAGGATTTTGAATTCAATGTGGGATTTATTGCATCACCAAAAAGGTTTTTTGTATATATCAACAAGCCTGTATCAAAGTGTTTTATTGTATGATCACATCATTTCAGGACTAATCAAGGACCCTTCCGCAGGCATGTTTTTGTATATTGCACACCCCAAGGTCCTACAAGTCTCTTTTTACAGTATGGGATTTTAATTTCTCGTATGGCAACATCAGTCTATGGTTTTAACTAGAGATGAGCGAATCGAAGTAGCCGAAGTGGAATTCGAGTCGAATATCGAAAAAATTTCGATTCGCGCCGAATCCGAAAAAAAGCCTAATTCGGACGCGCGAATTGAAATTTTTCCGGAAAATGGCGGCTGACATGTGCGGCGACGGAGCGGGGATGTCTGGGAAGGCGCGCAGACAAGGCGCGCTGACCCATAATGCATTCCTCAACGACATGTGATCGCATCAGCCAATCAGCAGCCAGTCAGCTAGCACTGTGTAATGGTCGAGCTATAAATAGCGGCCATTTTGGAATTCTTCATTTGCCTGCAGTCATTGAACAGAGGCAGACCGCTCTGTATTAGGGACAGGGACAGAGTTAGGGCCACAGAAACGATACTTGGGGACAGAGAAACGATACTTAGGGACAGAGAACTATTACTCAGGGACACAGAATTGTTAATTAGGGCCACAGAATCGTTACTTAGGGACAAAGAAACGCTAGTTAGGGCCACAGAATTCATACTCAGGGACAGACAGAATTGTTACTGAGTGCCAGAGAATTGTTACTTAGGGCCACAGAAACGTTATTAGGGCCACAGAATTGTTACTCAGGGACAGACAGAATTGTTACTGAGTGCCAGAGAATTGTTACTTAGGGCCACAGAAACGTTATTAGGGCCACAGAATTGTTACTCAGGGACAGACAGAATTGTTACTGAGTGCCAGAGAATTGTTACTTAGGGCCACAGAAACGTTATTAGGGCCACAGAATTGTTACTCAGGGACAGACAGAATTGTTACTGAGTGCCAGAGAATTGTTACTTAGGCCACAGAAACTTTAGTTAGGGCCACAAAATTGTTACTCAGGGACAGACACAGAATTGTTACTGAGGGCCACAGAACTGTTACTTAGGGCCACAGAATTGTTACTCGCACAGACACAGAATTTGTTACTCTCGCACAGACACAGAATTGTTACTCAGGGCCACAGAACTGTTACTTAGGGCCACAGAATTGTTACTCGCACAGACACAGAATTGTTACACAGGGACACAGAACTGTTACTAGGGCCACAGAATTGTTACTCGCACAGACACAGAATTGTTACTACTCGCACAGACACAGAATTGTTACAGAGGGCCACAGAACTGTTACTTAGGGCCACAGAATTGTTACTCGCACAGACACAGAATTGTTACACAGGGACACAGAACTGTTACTTAGGGCCACAGAATTGTTACTCGCACAGACACAGAATTGTTACTCAGGGACACAGAATTGTTACTGAGGGCCACAGAACTGTTACTTAGGGCCACAGAATTGTTACTCGCACAGACACAGAATTGTTACTCAGGGACACAGAATTGTTACTGAGGGCCACAGAACTGTTACTTAGGGCCACAGAATTGTTACTCGCACAGACACAGAATTGTTACACAGGGACACACAGAACTGTTACTTAGGGCCACAGAATTTGTTACTCGCACAGACACAGAATTGTTACTCAGGGACACAGAATTGTTACTGAGGGCCACAGAACTGTTACTTAGGGCCACAGAATTGTTACTCGCACAGACACAGAATTGTTACTCGCACAGACACAGAATTGTTACTGAGGGCCACAGAACTGTTACTTAGGGCCACAGAATTGTTACTCGCACAGACAGAATTGTTACTCAGGGACACAGAATTGTTACTGAGGGACACAGAAACGTTACTTAGGGCCACATAAACGTTAATCAGGGACACATAATTGTTACTGAGGGCCACAGAACCGTTACTTGGGGCCACAGAAACGTTAATCAGGGACACAGAATTGTTACTGAGGGCCACAGAACTGTTACTTAGGGCCACAGAATTGTTACTCGCACAGACACAGAATTGTTACTCAGGGACACAGAACTGTTACTGAGGGCCACAGAACTGTTACTTAGGGCCACAGAATTGTTACTCGCACAGACACAGAATTGTTACTCAGGGACACAGAACTGTTACTGAGGGCCACAGAACTGTTACTTAGGGCCACAGAATTGTTACTCGCACAGACAGACACAGAATTGTTACTCGCACAGACACAGAATTGTTACTGAGGGCCACAGAACTGTTACTTGGGGCCACAGAAACGTTAATCAGGGACACAGAATTGTTACTGAGGGCCACAGAACTGTTACTTAGGGCCACAGAATTGTTACTCGCACAGACACAGAATTGTTACTCAGGGACACAGAACTGTTACTGAGGGCCACAGAACTGTTACTTAGGGCCACAGAATTGTTACTCGCACAGACACAGAATTGTTACTCGCACAGACACAGAATTGTTACTGAGGGCCACAGAACTGTTACTTAGGGCCACAGAATTGTTACTCACACAGACACAGAATTGTTACTGAGGGACACAGAATTTTTACTGAGGGACACAGAATTGTTACTGAGGGACACAGAATTGTTACTCGCACAGACACAGAATTGTTACACAGGGACACAGAATTGTTACTGAGGGCCACAGAACCGTTACTTAGGGCCACAGAATTGTTACTCGCACAGACACAGAATTGTTACTCGCACAGACACAGAATTGTTACTGAGGGCCACAGAATTGTTACTCGCACAGACACAGAATTGTTACTCAGGGACACAGAATTGTTACTGAGGGCCACAGAACCGTTACTTAGGGCCACATAAACGTTAATCAGGGACACATAATTGTTACTGAGGGCCACAAAACCGTTACTTAGGGCCACAGAATTGTTACTCGCACAGACACAGAATTGTTACTCGCACAGACACAGAATTGTTACTGAGGGCCACAGAACTGTTACTTAGGGCCACAGAATTGTTACTCGCACAGACACAGAATTGTTACTGAGGGACACAGAATTTTTACTGAGGGACACAGAATTGTTACTGAGGGACACAGAATTGTTACTCAGGGACAGACACAGAATTGTTACTCAGGGACGACAGAATTGTTACTGAGGGCCCACAGAAATGTTACTTAGGGCCACAGAAACGTTACTCAGGGACACAGAATTGTTACTCAGGGACACAGAATCGTTTAATTAAAGAGTATGTCAGACAACATGCAGAGGAGTGGCAGAGGAGGCAATGTTTTAGGAGCGAGCAGACGTGGCAGCAGAGGAAGGGGTCGAGGCAGCACTATATTCGCAGCCAGAGGCTAGTGCTCCCGGTGTCATCCAGTACAGTGAGGAAGAGCTAACAGAGGGCGGTCAGGAACGGGGGGAGACATCCGCCTCTTCAGCAGCCAGGCGAAGAAGAAGAAGTAGTGGCGAGGAGAGTGGCTCGGTAGCCGGTCTAGAGACAGGTCTGTCTCCTGACCCACACGCAGCCGAGGGGGCTAGTAGTGAGGCGGAGACCCTAATTGATGATGATGAGGCTGATCGCACTTGGCAGCCTCGTCGTCATCAGGCTATTGCTCCCATTCCGCATCATCAGGAGAAGAAGAGGGTGGCAGCTTGGCAGCAAGCAAAACAGTCGGTGGGTTGTCTCCATCGCCACACTCTGCCATGTGCCACTTTCAGGTCTCCTCACACACTGCTGGTGTGTGTTGAATTTTTTGACATAGGGTGCTGGCAGATTACGGGCCTCCCATAGCTGCTGCCAGGCCCCTAATCTGCCATGGGCCCCTATATACCGCCTCCTCATGCTGCTGCCAGGTCCAGAGTCTGTCATGGGTCCCTGTACGGCCTCCCATTGCTGCTGTCTCCATCGCCACACTCTGCCATGTGCCACTTTCAGGTCTCCTCACACACTGCTGGTGTGTTGAATTTTTTTTGACATAGGGTGCTGGCAGATTACGGGCCTCCCATAGATGCTGCCAGGCCCCTAATCTGCCATGGGCCCCTATATACCGCCTCCTCTCATGCTGCTGCCAGGTCCAGAGTCTGTCATGGGGTCCCTGTACGGCCTCCCATTGCTGGGTTGTCTCCATCGCCACACTCTGCCATGTGCCACTTTCAGGTCTCCTCACACACTGCTGGTGTGTTGAATTTTTTGACATAGGGTGCTGGCAGATTACGGGCCTCCCATAGCTGCTGCTGCCAGGCCCCTAATCTGCCATGGGCCCCTATATACCGCTCCTCCTCATGCTGCTGCCAGGTCCAGAGTCTGTCATGGGTCCCTGTACGGCCTCCCATTGCTGCTGTCTCCATCGCCACACTCTGCCATGTGCCACTTTCAGGTCTCCTCACACACTGCTGGTGTGTTGAATTTTTTGACATAGGGTGCTGGCAGATTACGGGCCTCCCATAGATGCTGCCAGGCCCCTAATCTGCCATGGGCCCCTATATACCACCCCTCATCATGCTGCTGCCAGGTCCAGAGAGTCTCTCATGGGTCCCTGTACGGCCTCCCATTGCTGCTGTCTCCATCGCCACACACACTCTGCCATGTGCCACTTTCAGGTCTCCTCACACTGCTGTGTGTGTTCAATTTTTTGACATAGGGTGCTGGCAGATTACGGGCCTCCTATAGCTGCTGCCAGGCCCCTAATCTGCCATAGGGCCCCTATATACCGCCTCCTCATGCTGCTGCCAGGTCCCGAGTCTCTCATGGGTCCCTGTACGGCCTCCCATTGCTGCTGTCTCCATCGCCACACTCTGCCATGTGCCACTTTCAGGTCTCCTCACACTGCTGGGTGTGTTCAATTTTTTGACATAGGGTGCTGGCAGATTACGGGCCTCCTATAGCTGCTGCCAGGCCCCTAATCTGCCATGGGCCCCTATACCGCCTCCTCATGCTGCTGCCAGGTCCAGAGTCTCTCATGGGTCCCTGTACGGCCTCCCATTGCTGCTGTCTCCATCGCCACACTCTGCCATGTGCCACTTTTCAGGTCTCCTCACACACTGCTGCTGGTGTGTTGAATTTTTTGACATAGGGTGCTGGCAGATTACGGGCCTCCCATAGCTGCTGCCAGGCCCCTAATCTGCCATGGGCCCCTATATACCGCCTCCTCATGCTGCTGCCAGGTCCAGAGTCTGTCATGGGTCCCTGTACGGCCTCCCCATTGCTGCTGTCTCCATCGCCACACTCTGCCATGTGCCACTTTCAGGTCTCCTCACACACTGCTGGTGTGTTGAATTTTTTTGACATAGGGTGCTGGCAGATTACGGGCCTCCCATAGATGCTGCCAGGCCCCTAATCTGCCATGGGGCCCCTATATACCGCGCCTCCTCATGCTGCTTGCCAGGTCCAGAGTCTGTCATCATGGGTCCCTGTACGGCCTCCCATTGCTGCTGTCTCCATCGCCACACTCTGCCATGTGCCACTTTCAGGTCTCCTCACACACTGCTGGTGTGTTGAATTTTTTGACATAGGGTGCTGGCAGATTACGGGCCTCTCCCATAGATGCTGCCAGGCCCCTAATCTGCCATAGGCCCCTATATACCGCCTCCTCATGCTGCTGCCAGGTCCAGAGTCTGTCATGGGTCCCTGTACGGCCTCCCATTGCTGGGTTGTCTCCATCGCCACACTCTGCCATGTGCCACTTTCAGGTCTCCTCACACACTGCTGGTGTGTTGAATTTTTTGACATAGGGTGCTGGCAGATTACGGGCCTCCCATAGCTGCTGCCAGGCCCCTAATCTGCCATGGGCCCCTATATACCGCCTCCTCATGCTGCTGCCAGGTCCAGAGTCTGTCATGGGTCCCTGTACGGCCTCCCATTGCTGCTGTCTCCATCGCCCACACTCTGCCATGTGCCACTTTCAGGTCTCCTCACACACTGCTGGTGTGTTGAATTTTTTGACATAGGGTGCTGGCAGATTACGGGCCTCCCATAGCTGCTGCCAGGCCCCTAATCTGCCATGGGCCCCCTATATACCCGCTCCTCCTCATGCTGCTGCCAGGTCCAGAGTCTCTCATGGGTCCCCTGTACGGCCTCCCATTGCTGCTGTCTCCATCGCCACACTCTGCCATGTGCCACTTTCAGGTCTCCTCACACTGCTGCTGGTGTGTTCAATTTTTTGACATAGGGTGCTGGCAGATTACGGGCCTCCATAGCTGCTGCCAGGCCCCTAATCTGCCATGGGCCCCTATATATACCGCCTCCTCATGCTGCTGCCAAGGTCCAGAGTCTCTCATGGGTCCCTGTACGGCCTCCCATTGCTGCTGTCTCCATCGCCACACTCTGCCATGTGCCACTTTCAGGTCTCCTCACACACTGCTGGTGTGTTGAATTTTTTGACATAGGGTGCTGGCAGATTACGGGCCTCCCATAGATGCTGCTGCAGGCCCCTAATCTGCCATGGGCCCCTATATACCTCCTCCTCATGCTGCTGCCAGGTCCAGAGTCTGTCATGGGTCCCTGTACGGCCTCCCATTGCTGCTGTCTCCATCGCCACACTCTGCCATGTGCCACTTTCAGGTCTCCTCACACACTGCTGTGTGTGTGTTGAATTTTTTGACATAGGGTGCTGGCAGATTACGGGCCTCCCATAGCTGCTGCCAGGCCCCTAATCTGCCATGGGCCCCTATATACCGCCTCCTCATGCTGCTGCCAGGTCCAGAGTCTGTCATGGGTCCCTGTACGGCCCTCCCATTGCTGCTGTCTCCATCGCCACACTCTGCCATGTGCCACTTTCAGGTCTCCTCACACACTGCTGGTGTGTTGAATTTTTTGACATAGGGTGCTGGCAGATTACGGGCCTCCCATAGCTGCTGCCAGCCAGGCCCCTAATCTGCCATGGGCCCCTATATATACCGCCTCCTCATGCTGGCTGCCAGGTCCAGAGTCTGTCATGGGTCCCTGTACGGCCTCCCATTGCTGCTGTCTCCATCGCCACACTCTGCCATGTGCCACTTTCAGGTCTCCTCACACACTGCTGTGTGTGTTGAATTTTTTTGACATAGGGTGCTGGCAGATTACGGGCCCTCCATAGCTGCTGCCAGGCCCCTAATCTGCCATGGCCCCCCCTATATACCGCCTCCTCATGCTGCTGCCAGGTCCAGAGTCTGTCATGGGTCCCTGTACGGCCTCCCATTGCTGCTGTCTCCATCGCCACACTCTGCCATGTGCCACTTTCAGGTCTCCTCACACACTGCTGGTGTGTTGAATTTTTTGACATAGGGGTGCTGGCAGATTACGGGCCTCCCATAGCTGCTGCCAGGGCCCCTAATCTGCCATGGGCCCCTATATACCGCCCTCCTCATGCTGCTGCCAGGTCCAGAGTCTGTCATGGGTCCCTGTACGGCCTCCCATTGCTGCTGTCTCCATCGCACACACTCTGCCATGTGCCACTTTCAGGTCTCCTCTCACACTGCTGGTGTGTTGAATTTTTTGACATAGGGTGCTGGCAGATTACGGGCCTCCCATAGCTGCTGCCAGGCCCCTAATCTGCCCATGGGCCCCTATATACCGCCTCCTCCTCATGCTGCTGCCAGGTCCAGAGTCTCATGGGTCCCTGTACGGCCTCCCATTGCTGCTGTCTCCATCGCCACACTCTGCCATGTGCCACTTTCAGGTCTCCTCACACACACTGCTGGTGTGTTGAATTTTTTGACATAGGGTGCTGGCAGATTACGGGCCTCCCATAGCTGCTGCTGCAGGCCCCAGGCCCCTAATCTGCCATGGGCCCCTATATACCGCCTCCTCATGCTGCTGCCAGGTCCAGAGTCTCTCATGGGTCCCTGTACGGCCTCCCATTGCTGCTGTCTCCATCGCCACACTCTGCCATGTGCCACTTTCAGGTCTCCTCTCACACTGCTGGTGTGTTGAATTTTTTGACATAGGGTGCTGGCAGATTACGGGGCCTCCATATAGCTGCTGCCAGGCCCCTAATCTGCCATGGGCCCCTATATACCGCCTCCTCATGCTGCTGCCAGGTCCAGAGTCTGTCATGGGTCCCTGTACGGCCTCCCATTGCTGCTGTCTCCATCGCCACACTCTGCCATGTGCCACTTTCAGGTCTCCTCACACACTGCTGGTGTGTTGAATTTTTTGACATAGGGTGCTGGCAGATTACGGGCCTCCCCTATAGCTGCTGCCAGGCCCCTAATCTGCCATGGGCCCCTATATACCGCCTCCTCCTCATGCTGCTGCCAGGTCCCACAGTGTCTCATGGGCCATGTACGGCCTCCCACTGCTTCAGGTCTCCTCAGGTCACTGCTGCTGTGTGTGTTGAATTTTTTGACATAGGGTGCTGGCAGATTATGGGCCTCCAATATAGCTGCTGCCAGGCCCCTAATCTGCCATGGGCCCCTATACCACCCTCCTCATGCTGCTGCCAGGTCCAGAGCGAACGTCATGGGTCCCAGGGGCCTCCAATTGCTCAGTGTAATGAACGCCACACTCTGACATGTGCCACTTTCAGGCACACTGCTGGTGTGCGCAATTTTTTGACAAGGGTGCTGGAGATTCATGTTATAGCTGCTGACAAGGGGAATCTGAACATCTGTACCTGCTCTGCGTCAATGCTGCTCAGGTTGTGCCATGCTGCCATGCATGGCTCACGTGTTCCATCTGGTTGTCCAAGCGGTTCGCCTAAAATCCACCATGTCCCACTTTCAGACATCCTTAAAATGTCACGTAAAGTGTTGCATTGCATGCATTTCAGCCATTCCTACACCGCAAAGCACACCCGCCTTGCTGCAGCAGATTGGGCCTCCTCATGCTGGAATTCCACTAGCATCCTGATCTGCGACGTTTTGGGGCCAAGGTCTCCATTCAACCCTACACATGGTAGGAACCGCCTTTACGAACAGCGAAAGGCCATCACAGGATTTCCTGATGTTACACAAGCGGATCTGGTACTCCCCCTGTGTAACTCAGGTCAGTCCACACATTGGCAGGCTCATGGTGTGACACCTGCCGCTTGCTCAGGCCCTTTGAGGAGGCCACCTATTCGTGAGTCGGCTCCAGGACTATGCCATGATGAACGACATCATTCCTCTGTTGCACGTCCTGGAACAAATGCTGTTAACAATGGTTGTCATCAGGGTGCGGTAGACGTTGGCGCACCATTGTGCTCTCTCCATTGCCACATGACCCCTGTGGGGGGGCAGGACAGGAAGAAGAGGAGGAGGTAGAGGAGGACATTTGTGCTCAGGAATTATTGAGTGACATGGCCATGTGGTTTTTCCAGGTCTCAGCGGACAGGAGTGGAGGAGCAGGAGCATCTGGTAGAGGAGGAGCAGGAGGAGGAGTACAGAGGACCCAGACCTAGAGGCACCGTGGCAGTATGCTGTGGAGATGGAGGCAGGGAGTCCCTCGCATTCCTTGGC